AAAAAGTTTATTACTGTGAAAAAAACAGTCTAAAAATATCCCGGAGAAAAAACGTTTATTTTTATCATTAGGGAAATGATATTCTATATCACAAGTCACACTTAGTGCAAAATATTTAATATATTTTATTTAGTAAACTTGATATAAAAAAAAGCATTTTTAAAAATATTACATTATTACAAGCATTTATGCATTTATGATTAACGAAATATACATTATTTAAAGTAAAAGTTAACATTTTAAAAGTGACAACTATTAAATATCGGAGCCTTTTCTTTACTACTATTATTGAAAGGCATATTAAATGGAAATCTTGTGATTCAAGATTTATAATTTGTAACAGTTTCTTATTGTAATCTTGAATTTATTGCACAGGAATAAAAATTTCCTTTTTCAATGTCAGTATTTTTGGATGTTTTAGGTTTTAAACATGGATTATTTAAAAGTTCACGAGCAGTATTAAATTTTACGGTCTTCTTGATTTCATTTTTTAAGAAATGTAAAAAAAAAATTATTTATGATGTAAAAAAAGAATTTTTACGTCACAATAACATGTGACTTATATAATTCATGGGAAATATAATAGTTATTTACCGCGAAATCAGAGATATTAACGGCAGAGCCGTGATCCCTGTGAATCGGCGATTGAGCGGTAAATAACTAATATATTCATGGCCCGTGATATAATAAATACAATTTTCTTAGTTATCATTTTTTTTTCCTTCACTATAAAAAATTTACACAATTAACTATTGCCCCAAAAATATAGGGTATATAGCAACCTATACAGTACGGTTAACAATGTATGGTTTTTTTTTTCATATATGTACAGTATTAACCATACAAGTATAGACTACTTGTTATGAAAAAACTATACATGTATAGTTTTTAAAGCATACATACCATACATACATTCAAGAAAAAAACCGTACAATACATACATTGCTAAACGCACTGTACAGGTTTGTATAATACCCAAAAATATAGAAATTTAAAAAAAAAACTTATTTTATTAAAATAACAAATACAGAAAAGCAATGATATTTTCTGTTAATATTTCCAGGGATATATCGTTTGAAAATCGTACTGGAAATTTTTTTATCAATGAATTTATTTAACATTCAAGCATATTAAATTTATTTTATTTATTCAAAATTGATATCTTTAGACTTAGCAATAACTTTTTAACGATTAATGTAAAAGATATTTATTAAAATTCTTAATTATTCATGGTTAAAAAAGACCTAGTTAAAAACATCTTGAAATTTGTAATGGATGCATATTTCAATTTCGAATTCCATTAATTTCTTGTTTTGAATTTTGAAATCTTGATGTCGTAAGTTTGTAAATAATTGGTATTTTATATTTTCGTACTCATAACATGTATTTTTCGAAAATTTTCGTTACTATTTCTGTATTTGTTATTTTGATAAAATAAAATTTGTTTTTTAAATTTCTATATTTTAGATGTTTTAGGTGTTAAATGTGGATTATTAGAAGTTAAAGGCAATATTAAATTGTGTAAATATTTAGAGTTAAGGGAGAAAAAAGATTACTAAGAAAATTTCCGCTCAATCAGGGATCACGGTTCCGCGTTAACTATTACGCAAATTCCGATAACATGAATGTGGTTATATCGATAAAAATGGTTTATATTTAAAATTATTAGTATTGATATTTATTTATAAATACGAAATGTCCAATATCAAAGTTAACAAATACTGTTTATTTTTAATTAAATTAGATCACTTTGAAGTATGATAAAATGTAAAATAAATTATTTGTCACCCATTAGGAATTTCGCCCGCCATTAGTAATACCACGTGACCGAGCTTATAGTATAAATAATAAAATAAATTAATTAATATCATTATTTTATTTCTTTATTAAAATGTTCACCGTTGTTCATTCAGATAGACAAACTTTCCAAATTCTTGGTCCGAATGGATATTACATCGAAATCACGAAATAGTGATTGTTTTAGAAATTAGAATGCATATTCCCTCTTTCAAAATGATTTGGAAAGGAAATTGAAACAAAATCAAATCCGGCTCATTTTGATAATTTTATCAACAACACTGGCGTTATTTGGGAGAAAATTCCGAAATCTATCAAAAAGGAATACAAATTACTCTCGGATGAACTTGAGCGGAACTTTTCGAATCTTGAAATAAAAAGTCGGTACATATGAGCCTTGGCGCGGGCATAAAAAAATCTTACTCAAAGCTCAAAACATGTTTTTATGATATTTTTTTGCAGGCAACTTATGATAACTAGTCCTAGATAAAGTTGAGCCATGAAGTAGATGATGGAACTTCTTTCTCAAAACATGAGGAAACTTTAGAGACAATAAGAATGTTTCATTTATGGAATACGGCGACCGTCTTATTCAACTATATTAATTTAGTTAGTTTTTGGTAGTTATTCAGCCTCCTCAATTTAGTCAATTTTATTTTTTTTTTCAGATTCTTTTTTTTTAAAAAAAAAAAAAAAAGATGTGACTTCCGCAGTAATTATTATTTTTTATTTTGCTAATAAATAAATGATACATTTCTATTAAGTTGTGTTAAATTTTTTTTATAAAAATTTGCCAAAAAAGTAAATCGTAAGAGAATTATTTAATATTCATTTTATAGTAAATTTATTGATGTTGATACATACCTGATACGGTAAATGTAGGGTTAAAAGTAAAATATCATGATTTACCATTACCTTGTGATTGACTTTTTTGGTTAGAATGTAAATCTTTTATAAATGTTCATAAATTTGGTTTTTGCACTGATTACATCGTGCTATAAAGTAAAAAAAAAAAAAGAAATGCAAACTTACAAATGCAAAGTATCTATAATCGACGTAGAATTAAATATAATTGTCCTATATCCCGAAAGAAGTAAATATTTAAGGTGGAAGGTACCTACTGTCGAAAGTTTAATTCAACAACAGAATCTTAAAATCAACAATTCGTTTGATATCTTTCAATTGGATTGCGCTTCTGAAATTCGTGAAGCGCATCAATTTATTCTAGAGGAAACTGAGGTAGAAATTCGTAAAGCAACCGCTGCTATTTGGAAAAGTGCTGAAGAAGGTGTAAAAACTGAATATCATAAACTTAACATGGAATACAAAAAAGCTTACGAAGAACGCTACTTGATGTTTGACGACATGAGTTTCGTAGACTGGTCTGGTAAGTTGTTCATTCGCAAAGCTCTTGCACAATGACTTATCGTTAATAACGAAAATATTCCTCAATATGTCACGTCGTTTTTACCCATGATGGGTCATGTTTTCAATTTTAATCATTTTATTTTTAATTTCACTTATAAATTGTGCTAAATTCTTAAATTTTCTATAATGCTCTAAATTGTTGTTTAACATATTTAATTATTATTAATTTTTAGTAGAAAGAATAGATTTGTCCTATAGGTAATTATATTCTCAATTTTTTGCCAATATTTGTTGTGATTTAAATAATAATAATAATAAAGTTTATTATTATTTTATTATTAACAGGTACACTATACCTTACCTCATAGGCGAAATCGCAAAGTATTAATTATATTATGTTTCTTCCATTTTTTTATGTGTTGTTAATTAAACACAGAATAATTATTAATTTTCATTTATATCTCTTAAACTTACTTACCTACCAAAAGTCCATGTTTCCATCAATCAAATATTCAGTTAAATGAGCTGATGAATTTTGTAAGAGCCGACATCCTTGATAGAAATGATATCAAAACGGGACAGGATTTAGAAAGTAAAGAAAGTAAATTATGCGATGTCGACATCCTTGATAGAAATGATATCAAAACGGGACAGGATTTAGAAAGTAAAGAAAATAAATTATGCGATGTCGACATCCTTGATAGAAATGATATCAAAACGGAACAGGATTGGAAAAGTAAAGAAAGTAAATTATGCGATGTCGACATCCTTGATAGAAATGATATCAAAACGGAACAGGATTTGGAAAGTAAAGAAAGTAAATTATTCGACTTTTACCCTTGTGTAGCAAATAGTTATACTAGATATACAGAAGAATATTTGGAAAGAAATCAACAAACGGACTATCCGCACTTTTATCAAGGAGGTTATGCTGCAAAACATTACGGCCCATTTTACGGTATTGGTGAAATTGATAGAAATGAAGAAAAAAATTTGGAAAGTAATCAACAAACAGATAAAGAATTGAAAAAAAATTATTTAATAAACATATTAAGTTATTGTAAACCTAGAAGCATTGTTATTTCTAAAAAAGTTAATGAATTTCTTGAATTTCTTGAAAGATCAAACGATCTAATCAATGTTAAAAAAGCAAAAAAGAAAATTGCGGATTTAGGACTCTCTAGAAATCGTATACTTACAGGACGTTACTTGTTCAAACAGCACGATCTAAGACAAACTTATTACCAAGGCGGAAATCTTCAATCACATTTTCATTTTAACGAAGTTTTTTCAATTGAATACATTTTTCTTAAAGGCCTTCCGTATAAAGACTACAATATTGCAAAAAGAAAAGGAAAACTCTCAAGAAAGAGAACGATGAATCGGATCAGAAACCTTCCTCCGCAAATCCTTTTTTTCAGTACAAAGAATTTTAAAGAAAACCAAAAACAAAAGTTTGCATAATGTAGAGTACAAATATGTATCTATCGTATTATATTTTGAGATCAATCAACCTCTCCCTGTCTAACTATTCTATTAAACTTTATTTTTTCTTAAAATCCGTCATAATTTTTTTTTAAAAAAAAAAAAAAAAAAAAAAAAAAAAAAAAAAAAAAAAAAAAAAAAAAAAAAAAAAAAAAAAAAAAAAAAAAAAACCAAAAAAACCAAAAAAAAAAATTTATATTCTTTATTATTTTTACTATTTTTTTTTTTTTTTTTATTTCTCGAAATATTTCTATATATTTTTCACCATTATCCCATACAGATAATCAAATCTTTATATTGTTCGCTTCATCACTAATGCCTCCTTTCTCTTTCAAATATGCAATCATATATAATTTTTCGTTTCAACCGTCATCTTTTTTTTTCGGAAGACCACATCCTCTTTACACCAACGCAAAGTTTTTAGTCAATCGTGGCTATGTTCACATTTTCTTTTTTTATTATCGGTATTTTTTCATTTTTTTAAGTTAGTCTTGGAAGACCACATCCTCTTTACACCAATGCAAAGTTTTTAGTCAATCGTGGCTATGTTCACATTTTCTTTTTTTATTATCGGTATTTTTTCATTTTTTTAAGTTAATCTTGGAAGACCACATCCTCTTTACACAATGAAAATTTTTATTATCGGTATCTTTTCATTTTTTCAATTATATATTTTTTCGTTCTTGGAACTTTTCTCCAACATGTAACACAATCACATTTTCTTATATATTTTTTTCGTTTTCGCCGCAGGCTCGTAGCCAATATATAATGTAAATTATATTGGCAACACCAGTGGCATATTAAATTTTCTTTTTCATTTATATTTGTTTCACTTTGTCAATGTATTTTTCTGATATGATTAATTTGATCATATTTTTCATTCGCAACTAAAAATAAAGTTTAATCGTTATAGCAAAAAAAAAAAAAAAAAAAAAATTAGGCTGCGTTAATTATTATGATTTAATTTTTGAAAATAAAAATTATAACCAAAATATTTAATTTGCGAGAACAATTAATTCTAGTAATTATTCAGGTTTTTGTTTTGTGAAAATGTAAACATCTACTTTAATAATAATAAAAAAAAAAAGAAATTTGTTCTTTATTGATCTAATAATAATATTTATTGGTTAGGGGAGGTTAAAATATCATCCAAACTGCTGCGCAGTTCGGTGATTTTTCAACCCCCCAACCAATTTCTGGTATTGAGGTCACAAATTAGGTCAAATATTGAAATATAATCCTGGAAATCAAACGATGCTAAACCTATTTCTTTTTGGAATAGAATTTTCTACACTAGATGTGATTTTAGGAAATTTTTTTTTAATCTCCCATTGTTTGAACCAAAGGAAGTCGACTAATGAGGATAATTAAAGATAAAAAAAAATACATTTTTTCGCGCCAAAAAAAAAATATCCGTGTGTAACTGTAACTGGCGCAGCTGATTATGTAACAAGAAACACAACGATTGCATAAACGATAAATTTAAACTTAGCTAATGCAGAAGAATAACTTGATTAAAATAAATGCCCCATCTGGAACTTTGGAATACCGTTTAACGAATAAACAATTGGCCAATAAAACACGTTATTAATTAATAGGTTTCGATTAAAAAAAAAAGATTAATATGAATATTTCTTTACACCAACTCCTTTCATAATACATTTTTTCTAATTGAATCATTTTTTCACACATGAACGCGCAATTTTTTTTCCATTATATTTTTTAAAAAAAAAAATGGATTCAAAATTTCATGGAAGTCTTTCACAAGACCTTTCATTGATGTTAAATGATTTTGATGATCATAATGTTATTATCCAAGCTGGAGAAAATGTGAGAATTCCAAGCACATGCGAATATCCCCTTATTTAAAAGCGCACTTTCGACTGAATAGGTAACTAAAAAGAACCATATTTTTGAATTTAAAAAACCGAATGTTAATCTTATTGTTTTCGATATGATTCTCAATTATGATATCTACTCCAAATCCTTTTAATATAACAAATATTTTCATTTCCTTCTAATATTAAGGTTTTTATTTATAGTGGATTTAACCAAACAATCAGGTGCTGATATTCTTGGACTGTTGATTGCGTCCGATGAATTTCTTCTCGAGGAATTATTTAAATATGTTCAAGATCATTTGATTGAAAGACAAACGGCTTGGGTCCGGCAAAAATTTTGTTCTTGTTCTACATACAGTATTTAAATTTGATAGTTGTAAGAAACTACAAGATCATTGTCTTGAATCTATCTGCGCAGACCACAACCATTTATTATATCAAAGACTTTCCTTCACTTGATAAGGATATTCTTTATGGATTTCTCAAGTGCAAATCGAAGAAGCTGTTTGCTTGGGATTATTTAATTAAATGGGGTATAAATCAAACTCCATATTTAGGAAGCAAGAATAACAATAAGACTAAATGGAACGAAAGCATGGAAAAACACTTTAAGCGATTTATTCCTCTTATTCGTTTTTCAGAAATTAGTAAGACTTTTAACATGCTTACCTAATTTTGTAAAATGGCTCATAAAAATGACGAAATAATTTAAAATTGAGAATATTTTAAACAATAATTTTATTTTATTTGTGCATAAAAAATTCTATTTAATCCATTTTTTCAAATTGTCGCCACTATAATTTTCTTATATTGTTTTTTATTTTTATTTTTTAAGGTTCTAGAGTGTAGCAGAATAAATTAACTGTTGTATTATAAAAGGAAGGTTGTTAATGCACATATGATAAAAATCGAGTTACGAGCATAGTAAATCATATGATCCCTAACGTTATTTTAATAGCAAACCTCCCATATTATTAAAAAACTTTTACCATACATATATTGGGTCGGATTTGTTATAAAATTTGATCGTTTCACAAAGCTACATAGAAGTATCTAGGTAAATCCAATCATAGTGCTCCATAAGGGTCGGGTTCGGTCGGGTTTAAGGCAATTTCGAACTCGGACCCATTAATAATTACAGAACCCGAATTCGACTCGACCCGATCATTGTTTAACCCGGATTCAACTCGAATTTTCAAGGGTAAAATTAATGCCGAAAATAAAATAAATGTCATATAAATTTTTATTTTATTTTTAAAATTTATTATTTTTTTTGTGAGCATTAATTTTAATTCCTTTTTCTTTTTCACCAGAATTTCAAGCACATACAGGCAAATTGTATTAGCTTTAAGATCACATCGTTTGGTTGATATCAGATCGGTTTCGCCAGCAAAAACTTGTTCTACTGGAACAATTGTTGCTTTATGAAAGATGTATTAGTTAATGTTTAATAATTTTTTTTTATTTTAACTGTAATTGTTCACTCCGCAATGCTTTTTTTATTATTTGTTTATTATAAATTAAAGTCGCGTAACGTAAAACAAAAAAAAAAGTCTGGCGCGTCCGATCATCCGGTCACACGGATCGACCACAACGTGACCCTGACCCGGCGGAATTAGGACTCGTATCATAAAAATGATAATCTCGACTCGAGAAAAAATTCGAGTTGGTTCAAACGACCCGGGTCGACCCGATCGTTTCGGAGCACTAATCATATATTTAATAATTAGTAGTAAATAAAGCAAGCGGAATTTATTAATTTTACTTCAAAAAAAAATACTTTTCCACTTGTTTTTCATTGTTGATATACACCTGATACTTTCTATATTCATTATATTAAGAGATGAGCGTTAACCAACTTTCAAGAAAAAAACAGTATGACGCGTAATCGGTCATATGATCTGTCCTAAAATCATATGATCTAGTGCTTAGCTTATTCAAACAAAAAAAAAAAAATTTAAACCGTCTATCTCAAGAAACGGTAAATGGTAAGTGTGAAATAGTTTAAGTATTACTAATATAAATATGCTAATATGCTAATAAATTTCTTTTTATTAAGATATTACACCACCTACACTTAATTTGTTTCGTGAGTGTTCAAATATCTCAGATATTATTTTAGGTTTAATATTATAATTTAGTATATTAGAGATTTGATTTAGGAATTTAATCATGTTAAGGTGTGGGCTTAGTTTAAGCATAAGAAAGGATCGTTGATTTGGAGGGTAAAAATGAAAAGTTCACAACGATTAACAGCGAGAGACATTGACTGAAATTTATAGTCTAATGATGCTTTGATTGGAATGGATGTATACGAACAAATACTGAACAGGTACCGTAATATGCTACAGCAGAATACTGTTTTTGACGCTTAGATTAAATGAAAACGAAAATTATTTATTAGGATTCGATGGTGATTGGATTGCCTCGCCCGACTTTCACACAATCTGAACACAATTCGCTAACGAGGTTACGACTAAAAAGTATGTCATTCAAAGTATCGAACGGCTAATGTATTCATAATAGAATATTTCGTTTTATTGTTTACTATTTAAAAACAAAATAACGTTTATAGCATTGATATAAGAAATTAAATCCGTTTATAAAAAAAAAAAAAAAAATTCTAATTAGGCGATATCTTATTGTATCCGAAGAAGAAGTATCTTAAGTAGCAGGAGACGTGATATTTCAAATCCTAATATATTTAATGTAGAAAACTTTATTCTCTTGTAAAACTACGAAAGTTCAGGTGATTAACTGACCTTTGTATCGATTCAATAGTTGTTAAGAAATAATCTCATTCAAAGCTTAATTTCAACCCAGTGGTAGTTCCGTATGTCGTTTGTTATTGATGATGTTAAAACATCGCATTTCAATATTTTATTAGAATCAAAAATTTTTTAATCTTTTTCTAGTTGTTGTACAGTCAAAAAGAAAATAAATCAAATAAACGGATCCATAATTTTCTCTAATAAATGAAACAAATAAATCCTTGGGTATCTTTAATTGTAACGAATCTGTAAAATTGATAAAGATATTCTGGAATTCAAAAAATATGCACATCTAAATAGGAATCTTTTTTTTTTGTTTGCGGCTTGATCTAAAGGTCATAAATATTCTTGGGATTCCTTAGTGAAA